AGAGATGGACCGAAAATGGCAGAGCTGGATGATGTGTGTCCCATTATCAAACCGCTTGTACATACTTCCTGTGAGACTGGCAATGCAAAAGATATGCCTGGAAGTATTCTGAGCAATACCTCTCGATGTCTATCACGCGTAGAATTTGTCTCGGATAGCGAAGTGAGAAGCATCGGTGACATTTGTGCTCAAGTGAAATGTGATAGTGGCAAAGTACATATCCGCTACAAGGGCAATAACAGTTGGCACGTGTGTGATAATGAAACTGAAAACGACGTGATTTTACCCCAAAGCAACGATTCCGCGCTCAGTAGCGGAGTCATTCTTTGTCCCAAATACTCTGAGGTGTGCATGTAAGTGCCTAAACCCCCGTGATGTTTGCTTACCCAGAGGTTGAGCTGCACAAACTGCAGGTACTGTCGCAAATGGGAAGAGTAGGGTGGGCCCCAGTGAGACTCCGACGAGTGAAATTACCCCAAATTGGACACGCGAAGAAATGGCTCGTTGGGGGTGGGAAAAAAAACAGTGGAGAGGCAGTGAATAATCACCAGACCGAAGTGAAGTACTCAGGATCAATCCATCACTGCCTGGAACAATGAGCTTGATGCCACTCAGCGTACACTTCAAGGGGAAGAAGAGGGAATACAAGAGACGGACACGTATAGCACCCCTCTGCCGTCAACAGTGGTGAACTCACCATGCACCATGAAGGCAGTGATGTAACTCTCACGGACGGTGATGCTCCCACTGATGACGGCAACAGCACTTTGACGGGACTAAACAACACTCAGATGGGACAAGTAATGAACCAGGCGACTGCCATTGTTATTGTGGGTGCTGACAGCAGCATTTCCGCTTCATACCAAATCCCTCTTTTTTCCTTATTGTGTCTGCTCTGGTGGCTCTGGCATCCCCATGAGTCCCATCTGTACACGTACCTGCAATAATAATAATAAACATTCTTGCTTATTACGGCCTTTTTGACTATGCACGTATATCCGCATACATCGCAGTCAGTTGGTCGCTCTTTTTTCTTTTCCTTTTTTTTTCTTTTTTAACCATAATTCTTTTTACTTTCTTATTGGCTATGTTTTTTGCAGCATTGGAAAACAAAAATTCTCGTAATTGCTAATGGTATCTGGAGTTTATTTTACTTTGTGTGATTGGAAAAAAAATGGTTTATAAATATTGATATGCTTTCTGGTGTCCCACTGTTTGTTGATGCATGTGTGAACGTAATATGGTAGGATTGAACAGCATTAAACAGTGTATATGGACACACACACTTCGGCTTTAAAATACTGAATCAGTTCTTTTTCATAAATCTTACTTTGAGGTATATGAGTGTGTGAGTTGAAGAAAGAAGATTCACATTCCTGCAGTTAATGCAGCATGGTTGTTTCTTTTCTTAGTCTCTCTCTCTCTCTCTCTCTATGCCTATGTGTGTGATGACCAACATGACGTTATACCGTACCCAACATATCTGTTTCTCTTCTTTTTCTCTCTCATTTCTGTTTTTTTTATTTTTGACACAGCTATACACAAACCCACACTCTTTTGTGAGTAAGCATTCAAGAAGATCCACATGCGTTGTCTGTTGTGCACTGCGCTGCTCTTGCTGTGTTGTGCCTACGGGTGCATTGCAGCTGTTGTGCAGCCGCTACCGCAGAAAGGACAGGGTCCCTGGGATGCGTACGTTGTCTCTGCTCCGAAAACTGTTGATGATGTACCTGAGAAGAAAGACTTTCAACCCATTCGTTTTGCTGTTTCTGCCAAAGAAGTGGATAGGGTGTTAAAGTACTGTAAACAGTGGAAAAAAGATCCTTCGGCTAAAGACGTATATGATAATGAATATGGATTTACACTTGAGGTTGCAAATAGTAGATTCCATTTCTGCAAGGAGGAAAGCAAGATGACAGCTGCAAAGAAAAGAATTCTTTTGATGGATGTTCTTCCTGCTGCTCTCAAGTTACACAGTGAACGTCTCAGTATTGACCCTGAAAAGGAGAAGTTGAAGTTACCTTTTAAGGAGGAGAATCAAAAGTATCCAGTTTTGCCTAATTGTACAGATGTCTCAATTCCCAAAGAGCATCGAGATGAAGGTATATCCAACGCTGATTTTATGCTGTATGTGGGTCTCACAGAGGAGTATAAACCCGTAAAGATTTGCTCTAGAAATGAAAAAAATCATCGTCCTACATCTGCTTTTATTAAATTTATACCCAGGGAAATTGCTGCGACAAGACACTACATTCGTTTTGCTGCACATGAAGTTGCACATGCTCTTGGGTTTGATATTGAAATAATGAAGGAGAACAATGTGATTGAGGAAAAACAGGAAGGTAACAAGAAGATCCGTTTGGTGGAATCCAAGGCTGTTCTTGACAAAATGAAGGAACACTACGGTTGCTCTGATGGTAAGTGTGATGAAGTGATAAAGAAAGTGGCTTTTGAGAATGAATTATCTGAAGGAGCACCGTTGCACTGGGAACGTCGTATTGCGAAGGAGGAATTGATGAGTACATACACCTTGGACTTTGATGTGACTGGGGCGTACTATACAGCACTAACACTTGCTGTTTTTGATTCTATGCCATTCTACAGCGCCAATTTCACCATGGCAGAATCGATGAATTGGGGTAAGAATGCTGGTTGTGACTTTCTGGAGGGTAAAGAAAAAGACGAAATAATAAAGAAAAAAATAATACCCGAGAAGTACCGCGAAATGTTCTGCAACAAAATCAAATGGGGTCTGGAGTGTACTTCTGACCGTTTTGCACTTGGGAGGTGTACAAAGGAGATGGATCTGACAGACCGTCAATTTATCTCCTCAGAGTATGCGTTCTTCAACGATTTAACATCTTCGGCGAGTGGCATGTATGACCTGACGGATGGTTATCCCATTATTAAACCTATTTATACAACAAGCTGTGAAAGTGGGAACTTAAGTCTTATGCCTGGCAGTATTGTGGGAAACACATCACGATGTCTGAAAGGTGACAAGCTGAAACTGAATAAGGGAAACAAATTTGCCCTCTCTGTTGGTGATATTTGTGCGGATGTGAAGTGTGACAAAGACAATAAGAAAGTAATGGTGCGGTACAGTGGGAGTGAAATTTGGCATAATTGCAGTGAT